TAGTGTTTTGTCATCCAACACCAACCGGACTTTCTGGTTGGTGCAAGAACCGAAAGGTCGTTTGTCGGATGGCAGACCGCTCTCGCACACATTCCTCTTAAGAATATGACAGATGCCTCATTGGTTAGATTCAACATTTGCCCGCTGTTTAACAAATTGATTGATCTCACTGATCTACTAACGCAGCGCGTGCACACAAACAAGTGTAATACATGTATATAATCGTGTATGACCCAAAACTAGAGGATATGCTGGTCAACATACCTGGTTTCACAAGTTTTAGACAAAGCAGATAAAGAAGCAAAAAGGAGACTGGAGGCGGCGTAATAACCTACATTAACTGCAGTTGGTGCGGCAAGTCCGAAACGTTCTTTGCGTTCTCCAACAACGGCATTGACTTCCCCGCTGTTCCCTAGGTTTTCTGCTTTTCGGAGCACATTAATTAACAATCTCCACATTAGCGCTTCATGCTCACAAATGGAAATCAGCTCCGTGTACGATGTATTTATCCCTTTCACTGTTCCCCTAGTCGATGATAATTTAATTTCAGTTTGTTGGTGATCTTAAACATGGATTGACCCAAACTAGCTGATCTCTCATTAATACCCACTAGAGGAAATACCTTATCGGACAAGATCATCACTAACCGTTCTAATATTTTCTCTCCCTCTATCACGGAAGACACCAATGCCCACCAGCAACCACTGCCCCCATGTCTCAGATCGAAAATTCGATCTTGATTTGCACACCCCGTTTTTATTCGAACAACAAAAAAAAAACTTAAAAATTCGTAATCTCTTAGCCGACAGGCATTCTCTCCTGAGAAACTCTCATATTATCATCTACTCGTGGTTTTCCGTTCAACAATCTCGCTGTTCTGTTGAACAGCCTAATGAAACAGTTGAAGTTTTTTTCAATTTATGCTGTCCAGTGAAAACAGTTATGTTCACAGTAGCGGAGTTTGCTAAAAGCTCTCAGAAGACAAAAAGAACAAGCGTTCACTATTCACCAGACAACTACCATCAAACAGCTTACTCTAAAACCGAGATCAGAGATCCAAGGACTGAGTGCTTCATTCGCAAAGCATGTTCGGGGAGCTGGAGATGGATGCTTGCAACCTATGTTCTTTTGTTCATTGATGCAATTTTCCTGTTATACTTTATTGTTGTTTTCCCTGGACTAATTAAAAAAGATTTCATTATTCTTCGTCACGGTTTGGTAAGTTATCAGGCGTGTTTCTCTTATTCCCTTAAAGAATCTGAACATAAAATTGTAATTTGCTTACTACTTCATGAAAGAATTTTTCCCCATTGGGTACTCATGACCCTAGTCATGCTTTCAACTCCGATCTATATGCTTTTGGTACCCATGCAACAAACAGCTCCATGTATTGCTGTTTACCCTCCGGCATAAACATATATCGCAATTCAAATGTACCTTATCCGGCTCGCATTCTAACTGACAAGATGAAGGTCCGAAAAGAACTAATTGTTACGCTAGAAACACAATCGTCAGTTGTATATGAATTTTTCATTTTTGTCCAATTGTAACGATAACATTTGTTGACTGAAATGTGAGCGTAGTCGTCTAAAAAGGTTATTACAATAAAACTTAATAAAATTATCACAAATTTTTATGATTTACTGCCCAATGTTCTACGATAGGAGGATTTGTGAATCACCAGCCCAAGTTCTGGATTTTAAGCCCAAGTGGGGGAGATGTAGGATGCGATCAAATGAGAGCGAAACCGTCAAACACTAACGTAGGGAATTGAGAAAGCTTTGGAACCTCAGACCTCATTCAGAGAGAGACCAGTAACAAAAGATTAAACCGTTCGATTACCCTATGCGAGAGCATGTCATGGTGCAAAATGAAGAGCACAGTTTCATCGTAAGCACTTTGTACGTATTAAACGAAATATCACTGTAAGTCTTATTCAGTATTTTCGAGAAAAAAATAAGTTGCCCAGTTCAAAATGCTTCTATATTCAACTATATAAGCCCACGTTCAAATAAACCGCAACTTTCATGTGACAATCAAAATGAATTTGTTAGTTTTGTAATCTGGAACCAGGCAAAGTAAAAATCAAAGTTAAAGTTTTATTATGGGAAATACAAGCGGTTGCTCTTCTAGTCCCATAGGGTTAAGCACAGATGAATCGATTCACAGTTCATACAAAGTAGATGAATGTCACAATTTGTCCNTCGTGCACTTCTACGGATGTTAAAATTTAAGACTTTTCAGAGCTTCATTCAGTTTGTGCTTGGATGAATCAATTGTTGGCGCAGAAACAACTTTTGGTGGTAGAGAATTCCAAGTAATGCACACTCTGAGGGCGAATGAATGACGCCGGCATTCTAGTCGGCAATTTTGGAGTACTAATTTGCATGAGTGCCTCCTTAGGTGAGTGTTGGGCGACGAGGCAAAGAGTGAACGACATAGTTGATCTAGGTTCTGCATTATTTGATACACCAAGATCAATTCCACTGGAATGCGGCGATACTGTGTGGAGTACAGTTACAGTGATTCCCGTCTTTCCGCATAACTCTTGGAATGCAGTCCCNCAACCATTGGTTCCATGTTTCAAAGACGTACTCTATGTGTGGTCGAATGCAGGCGGATAACAATCGTGGGAACAGCATAGGTTCAAATTTGCCAAATACTCGTTTTAGGAAACCAACAAGGTTTTTTAACAGCGGTAGACGACGCACGGGAGCAGTTTAAAGAACATCTTAGGTTGTCTTGAACAGTGACGCCGACATCCTTCTCATTTGGGACATACGAAAGTTGTTGATCTCTGAGGAAATAAGGAAACCGAACTCTTTGTCGAATGGATACGACCGTAAATTTTGATGCATTAAATTCTATGTCCTTTTCGATCGACCATTGATAGGCAACATCAAGTGTTCTTTGAAATTCAAGTCAGTCTTCTGGTTTTGACCCTGTTTTCCATATTTTTGCATCATCTGCAAACATTAATGTTTGTGTCCCCAGAATGAACGTTAGATCGTTTATAAAAGCGATAAAAAGTCAAGGGCCCAGCACGGATTCCTGTGGAACCTCTTGCGCTATGCTGATGGGATCAGAAAGTGACTCAGAAACCCTAACTGCCATGGTGCGTTGTGGAAGAAATTCCTCTATCCAGCGTAGTACATGCCCCCGAATTTCTTATTTGTGTAGTTTCCTCAGCAGTATTTTGTAGTTCACTTGGTCGAATGCTTTTGATAAGCCGAGGTCCACAACTTCCACTGCATCACCGTGATCAGTTGCTTTTGTCCATTCTTCTCGGGCCAGAAGCAGGTTAATGGTACTCGATCGCCTGCGACGAAACCCATGTTGAGCAGGGGATAACACAGTGTATTTTTCCAAGTGACTCGTCACGTTATCTGCAACAATGGATTCCATGACTTTGCAGAATACGGGGAGGAGAGTAACGGGGCGGTAGTAAGCTGGGTCACTACGACAACCGCCCTTGTACACCGGAGAAATTATCCCTTGTTTCCATGTTTGTAGGAGCACAGTTTTGTTGAACATTTGTTGGAATAGTTCGCTTAGTGGTTGAGCGAAGTTACTCGCCAGGTCGATAAGAGTTTGTGGATGGATATACCATTCTTAGCGTTGGAACGCCGGAATTACCTTTTCTGGTGGCATTTATGTGTTTGTAAAACAGTTTGGGATTTGATATGAACTCACGCATGAGCATTTCTTGGTGTATTTACTTGTCTTCTCGCGCCAACTTGGTGCAGTGGTTTCGGAGTTGACAGTAGCTATACCATGTGTTGTTGCAAGGAGATCGTTTATAAGCTCTTCATGAGATGTTCTTTTGCGAAATCCATATCTTTGAACAGTTGAGTAGTTGATGCATTTGGTCTTTGTGGCGCCTTTCACCACTTTCGTCAAGTGGTTTTTAAATTCTTCCCAGGATACCAGAGGATCACATTGTTCATTGAAAGTGTAGTCAACAAACATACAGAAGCTAATCGTAGAATTGTGCGGTACGGATGCATAACAAATGTAGTCAAATGTCAACACAGCATGATAACTACCCCTTGATGGAGTTGCATTAGAAATCGTTTCCACCAGCAATTCCTCGTTAGCTAAAACCAAGTCCAAAACCGACGATGACTGGTTGGCTCTAAACCTCTTGGGCGCTTTCACAAAATTGTAAAGTGGATAGGATTCCATAAGTTGTGCGAGTTTCCTCTCAAACGGTTGTGTACAGGTTTGCTGATTTAGCTAGATTAGGGCAATTGAATTCACCCATAATGAGAACATGTGTGAACTTCAGTGGCAGAATATGCGACATGGTTTGCAATAGTGTCTCATTGGCTGAGTCTGTGGATGAAGGAAAGCGACACACCACACCGATCAAGTCTATATCGCGCTGCGACATTCGCACTTTGCACCACACTGAGTCAGGAACCGCAGCAGGCTAATCAATTACCTCGTATTGTAGTTTGCTGCTTATGTAGAGTAACACCCTACGACCCCTTGCTATTACCAGAAGGAGTTCTGTAAAGTCTTCAAAACCCCATGGTTTTCCCGATAGCTGGTCATTACTCCTNGAATTTAATTGCATCGGAGCAACAGATTATTACTTTCCTATCAACCCGACACAATATTTACCTTCTAGTTCATCAACCCCGGTTTTAATGGTAACTATTCGCTTAGTGCAACATTCATTCCGAACCTCGCGAAAATGTTTCTAGAAATTCGGTATGCTGTTTTTCTACTCAAAGAGAAGTATATATAAGACTAGAGAGCATTACCTTGGAAGTAATAACTTCATCAAAGCACATAGAATGAATAATTCTTTTCCCGAAAAAGAAAACATTTTACCACGCCGATGGGCAAAACGAACTTTTGACGTCAACAACAACAGTGTATCTGAATGCATTTGGGCTACAAATCCATCCAAACGCATACAGATGTACTGAGACATAAACACAGAGCTAACCGAACAGACAATCAACCCGACGAGCGGAAAGGGACACATATGTTTATGCACAAAGGCACACAAACATGCGAACAAGCAATGTGGCACTCAAATCCACGAACAATGCAACTAAAAAATCGAAGCGAAAAAAACTCGGGATAGAACCAGCACTCACCTCATCCGCTCCGCGTTGTATCACAGGTCCTGCGTATTCTCGCACCCGATTCAATGCAGTCACGACAATGAAATAAGTCAATTGTCCGGCTTCGATGAGATCTACTCCGTCTGTGTTGGAGATAACCGGATCAATTGGGGTGCTTGCCTCAGCAGTGCGAACGGGAATGTGATGACGGGCAAGAACGAGAGCGCAATTCCCGGTGCCAGTCGTATTAGTGAGTACAGTTTCCAACAGTGTGGCCATGTCCAGTAGTCTGACATAATACTGAAATTCATTGGTCGAAACCGTCCGATCAAGTAATCCGAGAATTGTGGAGAACTCGTCACGTGCATAGGTGATATGAAGTTGGAAATCTTGGCAGATAGAAAATAGGAAAATGTTTTTCAAATATTAGATTGGAAATACTAATTTAAATATATGTAGAGAACCAAAGAAATGTCCCTTGGTGAGATTTTTCAGTTTTGATAACGGTTTTGTTTGGTTCAAGGGATAAAATTGTTGTTTATAGAAGTACTCTGAAAGTAGGACCCACAGCATCCCTACTTGATCAAACAACATAAATGCAATCATGTGAAAATTTGCTCGCTGAATGATCT